CCCCCGGATCCTTATGCAGTCCCTGGGATTGCTTCTCAGTCCCAAATTACTTGTCTGGAATTCCAGGGACAAAAGTCCAGGGCTCTTTTGAACAATGGTGCTGAAAGGCATCCAGCGCCTCGCACGCAAGCCCACGCGAGGAGCACTGCTTCTTGCACGTCCTGCCTCGGGATCAGGCCCTGTGAGACTCAGTGGGGCTTACTCCCAAGCAGACACCCATCAGGTCACACACCCCTTTTCCCAGTCCCACTGAAACCAAACTGCTCTGTTGGGCAATACGGAGGCGTTCCACTGGCCGCAAGGGGGCTTGGTTCACAAAAGGTTCGCTGGGTCAGAGACTCTCCCGACCACCCGAGGGGCAAGGAACAGCCTCGGGGTTCTTTCCTGCTAAGTCACAAGGCCCAAGGCTAGGCCCCGACTGTTAAAAAGCAGTTGTTTTACCGCACTCAGTCCAATAATTGCAGGAACCTGGAGAGAGAGAGATGGCCATGCAAAGCCCTCCCCGGCAGAAGCCCTCGCTTTTTTTACCCTCAAGAGAAAGTCACACCTCGCACGCCCACACACCCCATAAACATCCGCACCACCCCGAACGTACTTTGGCCATCCCAGGGCGTGGTCCTGGGAGGCTCTTCTGAGGTGGGAAGGAAAGAAGGCCCATCGTTGTCAGCACCGGATGCAGCAGGGAGGGAGGGAGGGGGTGGAGAAAGCTCCCTCCCCAGTCAGGGAGAAGATGGGGAGCAGGAAGGAAAGCAGGAGGGAGACTCAGAAGGGGGGGGGTAGCCAGCAGAAGGCTTTCCAGAATCTCTCCTGGGCATGTGCAGAGTGAAGGGAGTGGGGGTGGGGGCCAGTGCCAGTTCAGGCCTCTCTTCGGGTCTCCAGGGGTCAGCCCAGCTCAGGTAACAGATTTGGTGTCACCCACACCTTGTCAGAGGTGAAGGACCCAGCAGCCCCTGGCTGGGAGGAACCCACCCCCAGCATTCTGCGCCCCGGAGGACTCACAGCCTCTGCCCCCCCCGCCCCTCCCCTCGCCCCGTCCGGAGGAAAGACCCGTGCTGAGCGCATGGGGAGGAGGGCAGCTGCGCCAGAACGCAGCCTTGGCTGATGGCCTCCAGTCTCCTGGTTCGGACATCACTCCTCCACC